GGGGGGGGGGGGGGGGGGGGGGGGGGGGGGGGGGGGGGGGGGGGGGGGGGGGGGGGGGGGGGGGGGTGTCCTCACCTCTCTGATATACCTCTTAGAGGTACCAAGGTTCTGTTTTGTGGGCGTGGCTTGAAATTTTTTTCACCCCTTAGAGGTATGAATAAGAACATATTAACTGATGCTTTGATAATTTTTAATAGCAATAGAGACAAACATGCTTTGAATACCATCTACTCATAAAGTTAATTGTCAGATATCTCCTGTCCCTTTTTTATCGGCTTAATACCCTAAAAAGATACTGCAGAAGCTCCTGCTGTGGACTTTGTGAGACTGAACACCCTGGGAGGTACCTAAACCACTTTTGTTTTATATAGGATAGGGATACATGGAAGAATAAACTGTGTGAAGTGCTGTTTACATGACTAAAACAAAATACAGTGTACATGATTGATAGTAATCGAAGAAAAGCTATATACAGGACAATCGACAATTATCAAGGTTGAGCAAAATATTCAATATCTGTAAGCAGATCAATGATTTGCCAATTGATCAGCTCATATTTTCTGGAACATAATTATGAATTTGACCCACTGAACCAATATTATCTTTTCAATCAAAACTAGGGTATTGACTCCCTTGAGGATGTGGGATGCTTTGGCCTGACAGAACTAGGCTATGGTAACAATGCAGTGCAGATGGAAACAACAGCAACGTATGACAAGGAAACCAAAGAATTTATTGTCCATACCCCAACCCCGCTGGCGCAGAAATACTGGATCACAAATGGTGCTTGTCACGCTCATCATATTATTGTGTTTTCTCAGCTTTACATTGATGGTGTCAATCAAGGTAGTGACTTTATTTCATGACACATTTAGAATTTTTTTTGTTGCTGGCACACAATGTTTAGTGATGCCATTATAATTGTAGTTATTATCTTTCCTCTGGCCCTTCCCCCATTTAATTATTTCTTTCTTGTCAGATTGCTTGCTGCCTTCTTTCTCCCTCTATTTCAAATATTTCATGAATCAAATAATTGGTGATAACACCCTTCACTACATGTACTTCTTGTGATGTTTGCATCTGTCACATTTTAGGTAAGGAAGTAACAGAAGATTTTCCCTGCTCTCTCCTCTCTCTCAAAAAATAGAGCAATGTAGGTCTGCATAAAAAAGAACAAGACCAACATTTTTTAGATGTGAACTGAACAAGCGAGTTCAATAAAGTATTTATTATAATGGCTCTTTTTAATCTACTGATAAATTGATGCATCTCTACGAGCCATTCTTGGTAAACGTGTGTGCAAAAGGTAAATAGACGTATTTCTTTACCTTTCTTGCGTCAAGTTATTTTGTGAACATTTAACTGAAATTTTCCCTCAAACATGAAGGTGAAGAGATTTCTACTTGACAAAAAAATGTTTATTTTGTGCATTGAATTGAAAAAGTAAAACGCTGAAATTAATTCATGAGCGGTTCATCTTAGTGATCTGTATAATCAGAACCACTAAGGAAACCAATCAATTTTTCTTTTCATTGCCGACCGGTTCAGCCATATAATAAATACATATATGTAAAATAAAGGGTTGCTTTCTTTCCAGGTATCCATGGTATTCTGGTTCCTATTCGAGACAAGAATCTCAATGTGATGCCAGGAGTCCAGATTCATGACATGGGACACAAAATGGGTCTGAATGGAGTCGACAATGCCAAGTTTTTCTTTGACAATGTTCGTGTGCCCAGAGAAAACCTGATAAACCAGTTTTCTGATGTTGCTGAGGATGGAACCTACACAACAAAAATTAAAGGTGGCATCAGAAATCGTTTTCTTGCAGTGGCTGATCAACTTCTCTCTGGTCGTCTGTGCATAGCGAGCATGGCCCAAGGTACTTTTTTTGTTATCACTTATGGCCAGACAGAACTTAGTTTCCTTGAAATTGTGCCCCAAACATTATTTGGCACTCAAGATCTGGATTTTGAAGACTATAAATTGTCCTCACCTTATACAACATTATTATGCCACTTGACTGACCACCACAATAGCTTTTAGCAGGGCTCGAGACTAACTTTTCAGCTTGCTAGCCCAGTGGCTGGTGACAGGTTTGATTCACTAACCAAAACAAATTTTTCACTAGCCGGACGCAGACATTTGCAAACATAGGCATTGATGTTATAATTATAGGCGTCGCTCAACAACAAAAACTGAAGTTTTTGCTTCTGTGAGAAATTCCCACAGAACTTTGCAACCCGCCACTGCAAAACATTCCTTTCTTTCAAAATACCAATTCAAGATAATTTCTCATGAACACAACAATTCATTCCATCTTAGCTTTATTTACAAGTTGCAAACATAGGCATTGATATTATATAGGCATCATTCAAATTTTCGAGCAACTGCAACTGTCCTGTTTAAAATCTTTTTTTTTCTTTGATTTGTAACATTTGCATACAGTAGCGCAAATCTTTATTGCACTAAGTGTCTCAGAGTCCAATGCACTGTATGTGCCACTTATAATAGACTTGATGAAAATTTGTGTGTGTTGTTGAAAGTGTTTGTCTCCCTTTCATGTATTTGTAGTTTGTATAGTGTGATCATCCAGGTAAGGGTAGTTCTGAAAAGAACTGCTGTTGATGACTCATCTTCAGAGTCAAGTGATACTGCTGGGTTCAGACCATTTACCTATATGTTGCATATATTTTTAAACAGGTGCATCAAAAGCCTGTCTTGCCATTGCCCTTCGCTACTCTGCGACTCGTCTGACTGTAGGACCTGATGGGAAATCCAACACTCCCATTCTCAAGTACCAGCTTCAGCAAAATGCTCTGATGCCATTGCTGGCATCTACCTATGCCATAGACTTTGCACTGCAGTATGTCAAAGATCGCTGGGCATTTCAGGTAGTGTAGAATAAAGCTGCTACGATACTATCAACATGTATTGGATTGTGAAAAATCCGGTTTAAAATCTGCAATTTGAAAGGGTACATTTAGATGTTGCTCAAAAAAAGGTGTTAATAAAATGTACATATTGGATTGAAGCAACCTAAATAATAACACTGCAAAGGAGACCAGTGTCAAAGTTGTCCAGAGACTTTCAGTGTGAGTCTGGGAATGGCTGGAAGAGTGCCACTGATAAAGAATAATTCTCTATAATTATAGGCCTGCAATGCATACAGACAGCTTTATTATTTAGCTCTTTGTATGCATTGCAGGCCTATGATGATATTCTCTAACATGATAGGCCTGCAATGCATGTACAGAGCCTTATTATTTAGCTCTCTGTGTGCATTACAGGCCTATGATGATAGAGAATTTATTGTGATTTACATGAACTACTCTTTTTTTCTTTCATCCTTGAGTAGAGTTAGGCATTCTTCTTCAAGAGTTTCACAGGATAGTTTATACCTGGGTTACTTTGACAAGAATATTAATCAGTAGTCACAGTTTGTAGACAGAAACTTGAAAGAACTGTGACAGGATAACTTCTGTTTTGCAGACAGAACTAGATAAAA